TTCTTCCACTTTAGTCACATCCATATATCCTAATACACAAGCATACAGTGACGACAAAGACTGACCTCCAATTTATTCATTCCACCTTTTTTGCTTTCAGTAAACGTCTCGCACATAAGCTCAATTCGTATTTCTATATCTTTGAAACTGCAGGAATCGTATTTGCAACAAATGCATAATGTAAATGTGTTCAAGGGTCATGTAAAATTGCTTTGGAAGTCGCATGCTTCGCATGTGCATCCAGTTTGAGACCACTGCCCTAATAAATACAACCTGTTGGAAACAGAATATCAAGATAGGAGGCTACCTTTATCTCTACAGCATATAGAGTATACATTAAAAGAATTCTGAAGATAGGGGTTGATCCGAAAGATTGCATGAAGTGCTACAATTTGGTGAAGGTACCAGGTACCATAAAATTGCTTTGGAAGTCGCATGCATCCCATGTGCAGTCAGTTTGAGACCATTGTCCTAATAAATATAACCTGTTGGAAACAGGACATCAAGATAAGAGACTACCTTTGTTTCTACAGCATATAGAGTATACATGAAAAGAATTCTGAAGAAGATAGGAGTTGATCCCAAAGATTACATAAAGTGCTACAATTTGGTGAAGGTACCATAAAATTGCTTTGGAAGTCGCATGCTTCCCATGTGCAGTCAGTTTGAGACCATTGTCCCCATAAATATAACCTGTTGGAAACAGGACATAAAGATAAAGAGGCTACCTTTGTGTCTACAGCATATAGAGTATACATGAAAAGAATTTTGAACAAGATAGGGGTTAATCCATGTATCAGGATTACATGAAGTGCTACAATTTGGTGAAGGTAACAGGTACCATACTTGTTTGTCACCTTTGGCACAGCACATCGAGCCATCTGATAAGAATATTTTATTTTATATATTTATGGCGGGCACTAGCCATTTTAGGCTTTGACCATTAGTAAGTCCAGAAGCGGTGGCCATTTTATTATGAAGGCATATAGAAGACCATTGTTATCGCCTATGAAAAAAACTGACAATGTACATCCAGGCCTCCTTCGGGGTTCGAACTCGGGCCCTTTAATACGTCAGTCAGAATCACTAAGCACTTTCCTATCTGGCCATCTGATAAGCATAATTGCTCAGAATGGTAGTAGAGCTTCATAAAATGGAGCACATGTATCAGGATCTGCATTAGATAATAACCATTTGCGACGCCAGTTGATAATTCGATCTTTTTTAGTCATTTAGTGACAAGAAAGATGCATCTTTCATAAAGATAATACTTTCCCCGTTAAGTGTCATTTTAGAATTCAATTTCAGATGATCCAATAAAAAGGGTGCTGATACAACAAATTCTGGATTGCAACAAATTTCTAAATTTTAACAAAATTAACTCTTTGATCATTGAGGCAAATAAAATGTTCGACAGACTTCTTTTTCACCTTAAATTTTGGTTTCAACAAGGTCAACTTGGTTGAAGCTCTTCACACAAGGTCTATGCAGAGTGCATACTGCTTTGTAAAAAAAAAAAAAAAAAAAAAAAAAAAAAAAAAAAAAAAAAAAAAACGTGGGCCACAAAATACTAACGCAATAGTCAGAATTCAATACGTCCTTCGATTAGGTGGTTGTGTTCGTGGCTGCATATTTAACAATAGCTGGATTTAGAATATCTTAAAAGTGGTGTATTTGAACAGTTATCTTTTCAGTTTATGTACTTATGCAGGATTTGAATTATTTTGTTTGAGATTATTATAGAGTACTAAACTTAGTTTAAATATCGGTAGTGCAATTGTTTGCAGTGCGTAAAATTGTCATTCTCATATTCTGTCAATTATACTCAAATTCGTGACGATTCAAACTTGGTTTATTTGTTTATATAAAATATGACACTAGTTTTACTTACTAGTAAAGTCATTAATTATTAATTTGAGAAAAATTTATTTAAAAATTAATTGTTCCTATATGACGTTATTACTATATGTCGAATATTTAGACAAGATAAGATCTTTTATTATTCACTCAAAACTTTCATTTGAAATAAGGCCTTTGAAATATCTAGGAAGTCACATGTTATTGCTCAGGAAGTGAACTAAAATAATTACTAGAAGAATTAAATTTTATTCAAACTAATAGCTCTCCAGTTGTGTTTCGAATTCCATTGAAATTGGAAGTTCTATACATTTCACTTGATGTATACTCATACATACTTTAAAATAAGCATTACTTGATATTACTACGGAGATTACAGAGTTAAATTGTCAGTAGTAACATTAATAATATATATTGACAGTCATATCAAAAAATGCATTGAAACTATAAAAAGTTTAAGAAAATTGAGAATTAATAGAAATTAAATAACTAAAGCGTATTAATTCATTTACATATTAAAAAAACTTTCATTCCCCTTTTTTTACATAATCAAAACTTTTCCAATTTATACTGGAACAACTTTGTGATATTTTATGATGTAAAATTAATTTGCATTTTCTAATTTCATATTACACACTGCTCATCAAAATTAAAGAATATTAACAGAAGTAAATCTTAGCTACTGTTTATTAAAAAGAAATTAGTAAAATTTATGGAACTTTATAAAGGTGGAAAATGATCTATCCCGTTTTGCAACAAATCTCTGTATAATATGAATACCTCTTACAGATATGCAAAACTCCTACTCTCATGTCGTAAAATTTACCAAACTGTTGATCATGATTATTGGAGGAGCTAAAGCAACAATAATCTGCTTAATATTCATAAATTACGTTGATTCTTGTTGATTAACTTCTCCAATAACCATTATTTGGCGTGTTACTTTAACTCAAATGTTGATCAAGACATGTGGAATTGCGCGCCACTTTCTGAAAGTCCACCTTTCAGATGCTGGAAGGTCCACATTTAATATGTTGCTTTTTAGCGGTATAAAGCATGTCACACATGTGTAAAGGGTTCCGATCTGGTAAGCATGCTCATAAATCTCTTCGAAGAATATCTTTTGTGTCCACGTATTCTGACACACAGATGTTCGATTAGAATGAGCCTTGCCATACATTATCAAAATTTTTGATCAACGACACCCCTAAACAGTTTTACACGGAGTTATAAGATCTCGTCAGCATATCTGGGAACAATTACATCAAATATATACAGCTTGGTACGATGATTTCTGATGAGTCTACCCCAAACCATAAAATCACTTAATTGGAAAAGAAATGTTTCATGAACAAAAAAAAAGTAAGTTATGTATATCTCGGTTCTTCTAAATCAAAATTAATCTAAAATCATAGTTCAAAAACTATACCTGGAATCGTGCACGTTCTCATTTCTTTTAGCTCCACTGAATAAGATGAGAAGCCATCTTAAATGGATCGCTTTCGAAGACGAAATGAGTGGGATATAAACCACTGTAATGAAATCTAGACAGTATTCCGTAATCCTAGGTGGCAACGAGATTCATCCGAGGTACTTAGTTTGCGCGAGCAGAGTGTTCGATGTTGTGGCTGTATGAGAGAGTATTGAAAGCTTCGTGAACGAGCTAAAGAGGTGGAGATTTTGTATCCCGAGGACAGGTGTGACAGATTCAATCACGACTATTTTTGTGGTCTCTGAATGTGTCAACATCTTGGAAATTTATTAATATTTTTAAATATGTGTAAAGAGTAATTTTTCTCTGTGTCTCTGCATTGGGATAGTGATGTGAATAAAAGACTGATGAATGACTTCGGCTATCTTTTTTTTGTCCCGAATTTACGATATCCCCGCAATCTTGGATAGTTTTCTCACGTAATGTCCTACCTTTTGAAGACTTTGTGTAATTGTACAGCGACTGATTCGTGTTCCTTGATATCTTGAAGGTCTAAAACCAATTCTCTTGCTGTCGCTTCACGATTATTTAGCTGACACTGACAGTAAACGGTCTTCGGATTCGTCTTTCACCAGATGGTCTACTAACTGATTCATTGCTTCAAAAGCAGCTACTATCTGTCAATGAGAAGAGTAGCTCTCTCCACAGTGTCTGGCATGTGGTGGTCGCTATAGCAACAGAGATAGTGTACTTCAAAAAGGGACGAACCAAGGGTTGCAAATTCATCTTTAAATGCGCCAAGATGGCAAACTGAAAAGTAAACCTTCCAGACACCTCTATGGAAACTGGGTCAAGGCTCATTTCTATGGTAACAGACAGCTGCAGACTAACTGGTGAGAGCTTTTCTTATGATAAACAGACTGTACATATTCTTGATATAACACTTCGAGGAATATCTTGAACGACCTTCCTCTATGTTTGCTCCCCCTTTCCCTCGAACTTAGCAATAAACCGCCACATTTGCAATTCACTTAAATGATGCCTTTGAATCTTAACTAATGAGTACTAATCACTTTTAGGAGACACGTTAATATTAAACAACACCACATACACAAACTCCAGCATTTATTCATTGCGTAATACGTTTGCCTAATATTCATTGCCTAATCTTTATGCTTCATGCTTTAACCTGAGCGCGAAAGTCCTGTTTTGTGTTCAGGTGTAGCTAATTAACATACATAATGACACCACTGGACACTGATTCGAAATTTTAATGATCATAATTTTTCAGATTATCCTTTGATTTTGATGAGCAGCATTTTATAAACCCTCACGCTTCAATGGGATGTCTAGTTTATAATGGGTGATTGACTTAGTATTTTATCTGAAGGGCGCGATTAAAATTAACTCAAGGAAGAATATATGAAAAAATATAAGATTTAATAACGAAATTATTCGTTATTTGTTAGATTGAATTAATATCGAATTATCGAAATACCAATTTCAAAATAGAACTGCAATAAAATATGTTAAAAAATCATCTGCCTGACAGTATGGAATTTTCTTGGAAAATATATCATATTGCCTGCGACATAAATTACTTCTCGAGATAACAGAGTCAATTTTAATTATTTGCGAAATAATGCATGACTTTTATATTGCTTATATGTAATAAAAACAATGAAGCATAAAATATTTCCAGTTTTCTTACCAGGACGATGACAAAATCAAGCCAGCACCAGGCATTCGTAAAGTATTTTCTGAAACCAAGAGCTAACCACTTAATTAACATTTCGAAGAAAAAGAGGACGGTAAAAACTTTGTCCATATACGTCAATATAATTTTCAACATAGGCCTGTACTTCAAGTTTACATCTTCTGCCGCCTATTAAAATAAAATACAAATTTAATGCCTTATTAAATTGTCTAAAATATAAAATAACTTGAAAAATATTATCGATATTTGTAAGAAACTGCATACATCTGCTACTTAAACGAGGAAATAGATATGATATATAGCATGTATGTATTTTTAGAGACACTTATGCATTCTCTACAGAGACATGAATTTGGAATCTTGGATCCTGAGCTCATAATAGTTCTGTGCAGTCATCATTCATTTATTGCATAAATATAAAACTTCTGCTTAAAAATTATTAACCCTTTGGAGAAAGGACGACGGGGGCCGTGAATATGTCATCAAAGAAACAATACATTAGAGAGCAACATGTACGTTCCCATAGGGAACATAAGAATGGTCTGTTAACAATATTGGCATTACTCGTCAACCATAATTAATATAATATACTATTTCGTTCCTTGATTTTGGGGAATATGAAGTAGTCACTTCATTTTATATATATTTATTACTTGCCCAAAGGGCCAATTTTCCCAGAAGGGCTATTAATTTCATTCTGGCATTTTGCGTTGGATCACTATAAACCGTGTTTCACTTTCAAATTGTTGCCAGTCAGCTATTAGAGTCATCCATTATAAAGAAATTAAATAATGAAGAACCTGAGGAATGTCTGTCTATTTCTCGAACTGCGAAAAACCTAGGGACACCAAATTTTGAATAACGTAGTCCTCCACTCGAATATGGACATCTAGAAGACCAAATTCAGAATTTCGAATTTGGTTTACTATATATTTCATATTTTATAAAACTTTAGCGAATTTTTGATTAACAAACTCAACGATTTCAAAGCGTATAATGGCAACACTGTATATAAAAAAATATTTTTGTCTCCAGCGTGCGTGACTGTGTATTGGAAATTCTAAAGAAGTGCTATTTTTGAATTACTTTGTGATATTGTTGTTGAATTGAATTTCATGTTTTAAGTGCAAAGAATATGATATTTAATAAATAAAGGTAACGCACAAAACGTTAGAAAAAAACGCCCCTTTTGGCGAAATACAAAATCTAAAGCTTTCAAAATTTTTTTTGCTGTTTTTTATTATATATTTTTATTTTTTAATGAAAAATAAGAGCGGTACTTCTAAAATTAAAAAAAAAAAAAAAAATCCCCAAAACGGTGTCTTTTTGCCGAAGAGACCAAAATTAAAATTTCAGTTTTGTACACCGAAAAAAATCTGCCTACTTGCCCACTGGCAGAACTGCTTATTTCTGCGTAGAAAATGTAATTTTAATTGTAATTTTTTTAACTGTATTTTTGTGTTTTACATTTTTAAAAAAATTTTTAATAAAGATATTTTCTCTAATGAAATTCGAAGAATTAAGGTTAAATTAAATGCAGCAAAAATATGTATAATTTGATAGGTCATACTATAGAGACATTAGGATTTTTGGGAAGTCAGAGAGAAGAAAAATTAGCAACCGCCTTCGCCGGGAACCGAACCACGGACCTCTGGAATACCGGCCCAGCGTGCAGAACCACTACACCACGAAGGACGCTAGGAAAGCGGGAAAAATACCTTATAATACAAGGATGTTATGTGGTGCCCACATCAGATTTATTTAGATCAGCAAATTAGTAATTCCAGTCATCTAAAAAAACATGCCTCATAAACATTTTCATTTTCGGAGTGTTTTTATTTAGGAAATAAAAACGATTTTCCTTTGCATGAATACTTTCAGTGGTATTACATCTGGCGGCATAAAGAACTGACTGAAAATGAATTGTTTTTATACTTGAAGATATATTTGACACAATATTAACTTATCATAATTTGTCCATAAAAACAGGACATTTAAATAATATATTATAATATGGATCACATAACTAATTACTCTAGAGTAGGGGTCTTCAACCTTTCAGCCCAAAGGCCACATCAATAAATTCATGAAGATCCGTGGGCAACATTTCTGTCAGAAAAAAATAGTGTAGTCAAAAAAATTATATAAAAAAAGGGAGGTTTGTTTTGCAAGACTACACTTGATTCTAAGCGAAGAGATAGTGTTACAGATTTGTGTATATACATATATGCAATATATTAGGAATTTAGATGACGTATATGTGTTGATCCATAATGACTAGGAAATTGAAGGCGAAGGCATATCTAATCTTCAATTTTATTTTCAGCAACATGTAGCGGTTACACATAAGTCGGCACATTAAATGTGTCTGTTCCAAAGGGCTTACATTTTTGATAACTTTGTCGCAAGAAAGTAGTAGTAGACAGACAGCACTGTAGCTAGGCCAAAGCGAGGAAAGCAAGTGCGTAATGTTCAGGATGAAATCTCAAGTCAGACTGAGTTAGTTTTGGTTTTCAAAGCATTTTGATTGAGCAGTTAATATTGCTGTAAAATTACTATTGGCTGGTCGTGTTTTACTTCCATTTACATCATCATAATTATGTAGATGATGATGTTGATGTATTTAATTATGGCAAAGCACACCAGGGCTATCTGCCTAAAGGGAGGGATGCCTTTCGTGGAGGACTTTCTAAGGGAAACTGGCTCGTATACACGTTACACATGGGGAAAACCACGAAAACGCCCATGCAGCCAGCCCGTTCGCGGGATTCGAACCTCAGACCGAACTACCAGTGTTCAGCGTCTTTACCGCTCGGCCGCTGGTGGGCCCAAATATGTAATTATGTAAGAATCATATAACACAGAATGGCCATAATTATGTAAGAATCATATAACACAGAATGGTCTCGAAATGACGCAGTGCAGAGAGGTGTTACTATTTTTAGAATAGAAAAGAGAAATTTACGTTGCTAATTTAATAAGATTCTTTTTGTTACATATCCCCCTTTTAAGAAGAAAAAGGCGAAGCGACAGAGAAGTATTTTTAAGGAAAAAGCGTTAACGCACTAGCAAATGTGGGAAAAAAAAAAAAAAAAAAAAAAAAAAAACACAAATCATAAAATTTTGATCCCGTAAAGTATAATTTATAAATGTCAATTTTTTAAATAAATTCTTAATTTTTTAGAGTCCTATTGAATTTTTGAACATTTCAGTCCAAAAGTCTTTTCGTTTGTGAATTCACATAATCATAATTCTTCAGGGAAGGTTATTGTTATTACAGAATAAACTTTTACATAATCATTACTTATAATTAAATGCACATAAATATTTATAATACTAATTTCCATATTGATAAATTATATTTTAACACCATGTAATAGGAGTAAAGTTTCAGAAATTATGGTTTCACCGTTATTTTCTTTCTTTTACAATTCCTGATTTTTACCATACTGAAAGTTCTTGCAAACAAAAAAAAAAAAAAAAAAAAAAAAAAAAAAAAGGTAAAAGGGTAAAAGGAACAACTGTACAGAGGTAATTACAGTCCTCTGTTTAGGAATCAGTACTCCCTCAACATACTCTACACTTAACACACAATCATCCATAAATTTTAACATGCAGTTACGATATTTTAATAATACTTATCTGTACTAATTTCACTTATTTTTTACATCTACTTCATTTTTAGAATAAATATAAAATTCGTATTCACAATTTCAAAAATATAACAACTTAGCTTAATAGCCTTCCCTAAAAATAATTAAAAATCTAAGAATTCTTTACTTACTTTACTCAATTATTAGAATTCAAATTTCTAACATCATTAAATTTTATATTTTTTCCTATCATAGTGTTACATTTTTAAGGTCCAATTTATGAAGAAAAAATATCAGTTACGCAAAGTGAAAATAAATTTCTTCAGTTGTAAATTTAATCCTATAGCTGCGAAAGAATTTATTCGCATAAAAGCATAAAAGATTAAGATAACCCTGAAAGCATTGGAATGATTTGAAGCGTCAGCACTCGAAAAACATTCGTCTTTTTACTGTAAACAAAAGCTGAATTAAAAGACTGGCACTAGATTTCCTTTTTAAACACTCGCAGCAAATCTATTCGATTTCCTTTTCGCATTTTTATATTGCTGTTGAATTACGTTACCTTTATTAAATCACCGTATATGCTAGGTTATATTTCGAAGAAAAACAAAGGTTTTCGCTTCGATTTCAGGATTAAATGGAACTGATATTACTTTAAATTATAAATTGAGGACTTCACAACCAACTATACTAAATTTGGCTCCTCTCGCAAGAGGGCGCTGTATTAAACCGAACATTCTGGCCCCCATTGAAACAAGTTTCAATAATGCCATTAAAATTTACAATCAAATTCAAATTTAGACATACATATGAATAATTGATAATGTTGCTAGTATTAATAAGGTTGATATCATAAAGAGTTAGAGTAGTCCGAGTAGTACGCACGGCAAAGGGTCTCTTTAAAAGGCCTGTCACAAAATTAAGTATTTTGCCCATACCAGACAACTATCAAATATAAAATTTCTATATTATGGATGGACATTATTCATTTAGTGCAAGTGTAATATTTTTATGTGTAACGTTTTTTTTTTTTTTATATGCTACTGAATTGAATTGTATTTAAAATATGTAGTGTTAAATTGCATTTCATTGTGTATTTCATATACATGTCTAAATTTGAATTTAATTGTAAATTTTTATGGCATTATTGAAACTTGTTTCAGTCGGGGCCGTAATATTCGGTTTAATATAGCGTCCTCCAAGGATCAGCAAGAGGAGCCAAATTTAGTTAGTTGGTTGTTGAAGAATGTATGCAGCGGACCTATGGTGCGTTCCTCGTTCCACTTTGTGCTAATAGAGCACCTAACTTGTAACTTTTTACCTTATGTAAATAATTAAATATTTGTGTGGCCTAACTTAGTTAGTTTTATTTTGGAACCAGCGCCATTATCTCTCGCAACTCATCGCACGCATTTATTACCAAGCATAAGTTTTTTACTTTAAAATTTAAAATTTGTAACACACTTGTTCTGGAAAAATTCGGTGTAGTTGACTTGCTGATTCCAGGTTGCGCACATAAATTGACAGAGCAGGCAAAGATAAATAGATAACATAGAGGCAAAATAAGTTGCCAAAACCGTTGTCAGCTTGGCGATATCTCTCCAAATTACCGAGATAACCATTTACTCAACGTAAAATGCACTTGCTCCCTCTTTTCTGGCACACCTTTTTTTTTTTTAGATTTTTTATGTTACAAGGGAAATTCAACAGTTTTACTTATAATTCTACTAAAATTACCTAAGTACAAAACTCTTAACAGCATTACTGAAGGTCATTTTCTATATATTAAATTGAGATGGTAATAATTTATCTGAGCCGGATAATATAAAGCAAGAAGAAGGAAGAAAGTTGATTCAAATTAAACTTTATAACTTAAGTGAACGCAGTTTTCCCCTTCAAACAATATGTTATAAACAGTAAATGGCTTAAAAATAACATATATATACTATAGTATATATTAAATACACACTTACCAGGGCCAGGCTACTTATCATAATCATAGTTATGATAACGGTTTCGAAATATTTGTCTTCTATCAGTATAAACGTCTTGCCTCTCAGCTCTTTCCAGTTCGCCCAGAATTCCGGATTGGCTTCTTCCGCGCAGCAAGCGATTTTCCTGTAACAAATATCCGGGCAGCAATCTGCGGGATATTCAGCGATTATTACGTCAGCTGTCGTGGTCTCCAACTTATCTGTGTCGACATCACCTTCTGTTTGAGGATTAATATCTGTCCCAGCCATAACATCTGAAAGTGTTCCAATTATTATAATAACACAGAAATAATACATATCCTTAGAAATATTCTTAAACATTTCAAGCACAGTATAACAACGATAATACATATGTTAAATATTATGACGAATCTCAAAGTTTAGCTTTATAATAGAGCAGTATTTGTAAATTACTTAGTTATTTTCCAGTAACCATGCATAAGAGCAACATTAAAAGAGGAAATTAATCTAAAAATTAATTCAATTAAAAAAATTCATATTTTAATAACATGAAAAAAATTATCAAAATACATTTTACCACTTCTTAAAATTATCGGGTCAGTCCATACGTTCGTGCGCATTAAGAGTATGCATGGAATTCTTTATGGCGCATTTACTAAAACAATACAACTTTGAACCTGTTGAAACTTGCCATCGTTTGACTAACATATTATTTAGTTCATCATCAACTTTCGTAACTATCGAAAGCATTTTAGTACCCATAGAAGATGAATATAGATAATCAGTACAAACGTGCTGTGCTACATTTTTTATTTTTGTGTGGTGAATCTGCCAGGTTTGCAGATTAAAAATTAATAGTGTACATGGTGAAGACACCATTAGTGTAAGGACTGCCCAGAAATGGTTTAAAAGATTTAAAGATGGAAAAAGCAGCATGGATGATAAATCCCGTTTTCAGGACGTTTTGAACTGTTAGAACCAAATCAAACGATTCATTCAGAACTGGGTCCCGTAATTAAAAGTAGCCCTTTAAAATGGGGAGAATATAAGGTATTTTCTTCCTCCTTTCTGCGTGGTGTAACGATAGCACAACCGGCACGTATTGGAGACGTCCAGTTCCCAGTCCTGGCTACTAGATTGCTCATTTTCGATGTCTTTTGCATCAAAAAAACTAACTATTCTACAATGTTATTTTCTTTGAACTCCGATTCTGTACAAACTTAACTCTAGAACCTTGCCCACCAGAATAAGCAAGCAGTTCCTAAATTATAAGCTGAAAAGGCTGCAGATTAAACTATGGGAAGTGAAGAAATATACGTGTAAATAAGACAATAAATTGCAAGAAAAAATAAATTATCAAATAAACTAAGAATGAAAATTTTCAAATCTTTAAACGTTAAGCAAGTGTTAATTTGCACGGTATTAATTTCAATTCTTCCGATTTTTGAAACAAAACATTATTTCCAATATGGAACTTAAAACGTTAAGTTCATGTAAAAAACTCGTATACAAGTAAACCCCTTTTCAATTTAATGTGTGAGTTTAAAATAGTTGAAGTTCTCACCCTCTCCAAGATCTTCTTTGCTGGCATCTTTCTTCTCATCATCTGATCCATACTGTGAAGAGCGACTAGTCTCTTTGGACGGTTTTTCGATTATAACATCTTTGTCCTTGAAGCCATTAAATGATTTGTTGCTGAGGTTGTCCTCGATCTCTTTTTGAGGATGGACCTTATTGCCAAATATCTCCTTGTCCTGCAAAAACAACTTCTGTTAATCGGTTAGATGAAAGCACTAAAGAGAAATATTACAATTATATACAGAAATAATTTTAAACAATTGTAAATATAAAAAGAAATATGAATTTTTATTTATTAGTTTAAAACAAGCACAGTAATAAATAAAATAACATTTCAATAGTTATAAAAACTAGAAAAATTTGCAGAAAAGAAAGAAACTAGAAAATATGAACTTCAATAAAGAATATATCCATAGAACATTATTCGCAAATTAACACGTAGTAACATATTTTATTCTTTTAACCAAAGTACAAATTTTTATTAGTTCAAAGGGGCAATTTGCCCAGAATGGCTATTAATTTCGCTTTGACATTTTGCGTTGGTTCACTATAAATGGTTTTCCACTTTTCAGATTTTGTCAACATTAGAGCCCTGCATTATATTTAAAGAAATTAAATAATGAAGAATCTGCACGAATGTTTAGAAGGTAGAGATAAGTATTTAAAATATGACTCCTTTAGTATTTAAATATTTATTTATTTGGTTAGTTAGTTACCAGTTAAGAATATCTAAGTACATGAAAGAAACTTATGCTAATGCAAACTCAAAAGTAAAAAATATAATAATAATTGTCGTTCCAATGTTTATGAGCTTATCGTTACTATGGCAACTCGTTACTATGCGATAAATCTAACTGTTGCCACAAATATATGTATGTTTCTCTCAATGTGAATAAACGACGGTACCTAGAGCCATCCAATTTTGAATAACGTAGTCCTCCACTCGAATACGGGCATCTGAAAGCCAAAGTTTTGGAATTCGGAATTTGTTCTGTTATCTATTTCATATTTTATAAAACTTCAACTAATTTTTGATTAACAAACTGAACGACTTCAAAGCTAGGAATGGCGGTACTGCTAGAAGAAAAAAAACATTTTTATCTCCAGCGCGCGAGACTATGTATTGGAAATTCTAAAGATATGTTGTGTTTTTAATATTATTTTGTGATACTGTTGTTGAACTGAGTTTTAAGACTTAAGCACGAAGAACATGGTATTTGATAAATAAAGGCAACACACAGAAAGTTGAAAAAACGCTTTTTTGGGCGTTCAACATTCAGATTTTTTTAATTTAATATACAGTTGTTACAATTTAAAGCAATAATGACAGACAAATAACTGAATGCCCCATGCAGTCAGTCCGTTGCATGGCGACTTTCAAAGAAGGGTATTCATATTCTAATGAAATAAGATGCAAATCAGATGCTTCTACTATCATATTATACAAATTTTGGTGATGAAAACGGGTACCTCAAAGTTTCTGCAGCTGAGGGTATAGTAACAGAATTTCTGTTTTCTTACCTTTCTTTTGTTAATCTTTGTTTTCTTAGAGATACTGTGAGATAATTTATTTCAAAACGTGTCAAAATTGGGTAATTAAAGATAACTTCTGGTCCCAACAAGACAATGACCATAAACATACAGCTAGGATTACAAAAGAATTCGTCTTATATATAGTTCTTCAGAGATCATTCTACTGAAGAAAAATTTACAATATCCAAAAGCGGTAAAAGAGCCGTTAAAAGTATACTACTTACAAGGAAGGCCTTCTAATCTTAAACATTCAGTTTTTCTGAATATATATATATATATATATTATGCGTATGTAAATCTACTAATTTAGAAATGTGTAATAGTAAAAATGGCAGAAATATTTTACAGATCATCAAAAAATATTAAAAAGAATTTTTGACAGCCAACGGCAAATTTTCTGATGGAATTTTTTAATTTAGAGGAATCTCCAAAAAGCGCTACATCATCAAAATATAGTAGATTTGTATATTCAGTTTTCTATTCCTACTGATTTCGCAACTAATTTTGCACAACAGAATATATTTTTTAATAAGAAATATATTTTCAGTTTTTTTTGTTGTGTGTGTGTGAGCGTATTCCTTGCTACATCTTCCAAAATTTCAATGTTTCATCGTAAATACTTATTGACTTTTCCAATAAAATTTTGGCCGACCAGTGCCCGAGCAGTAAAGTCGCTGAACACTGGTAATTCGGTCTGAGGTTTGAATCCCGCGAACGGGCTGGCCTCAAGCCATGCAACGGACGAACGGGCTGGCATGGGCGTTTTCGTGTTTTCCCCCATGTGTAACGTGTATACGAGTCAGTTTTCTTTTAGAAAGCCCTCTACGAAGGCATCTCTGCCCTTAGGCAGATAGCCCTCGAGGGTTCGCCGTAATTAACCAATCCAAACCAATAAAATTTCAATCTGTCCTTAAGTGAACTGAACTGGATTTGGGGGAAAATATAATTGAATCTGCACTCTCAAAAAGAATATATAAAATTAACTGCCGATTTCCTATAGAAGTAACAAAGTAGCGAAAGAGAAACTAAAAAAGATTTTATACACCATAGGCAAACTTTGTCTCTGGATTCATTATTAAAAAAACGCTATATACAATTTTTTCCTGGAGTGGGCCGGGGGTCTTAGCCTGACCGCTTGTCCAGGCTAAGATGCACAAGAACACCGGAGCCCACTGTCTAGAAAGCAGATATCAGGGCACTGTTTGTCTGTTTCTGTCGCCGTTTAGAGTTTAGTTTAATATACTTTTTTATATTTTTCAAAAAAATCTTCTTTCTATATAATTCTATCTCTTTATGTATCCTCTAAACAAATCAAAAGTATAATCTTACTACTGAAACTTATTAGGTATTTTATTTACGTTTAATCTGATAGTTTTATGAGGCTTATTTAGCGAAAAATTTGGTTTCAGTTTTATGATTTTATGTTTCGTTGATTTATGTGTAATAAATACATTCTGTGATTAAAATTTCATTATGAAGAAACAAAACGCACACTTACTCGTTATTTTCAAGTTAAATAAATAAATATCGTATACAAATCTCATAGATACATTGCGCCTGTTCTCGTAACTTTTGTATTCCGCCCGATACAGCATTAAAAGTTCATTTCTTTCTACAACCTTATTAGGCAAAGCGAATATTTGCACAACGTTCCCTTTGTAAAACATTGCAATCTGTTTTTTGAAGTTAATAATAAGCAAATTCTTTAAGTTTTTGGTATGTCATAATAGTATACCTGGATTTAACGAAAGTCTTTCACTAAAAAATTTTCTTAATAAGGCTAGGGAAAAAAACATGAAAGCAGCAGAACCTTTAGTGCGAGTGGTCATCACTAGCCAAATCTAGAATTTCTGCCTCTGTTTTGGTAGTTTTTCAAAGCCTTCGGAACAGCGGCCGCGAGTGCAAAAACAGTTCAACCTCATTTCGGGCGTCCTATGCAGAACGGAAGAGAGCACCAGCAAAAGATGACATTCGAGTCCATAGAGAGACCAGCCGGTGTATGCAGACACATATGGTCTTGCATTATCTTGATGGAACATTACCGTTTTGCTCAGGAACTCAGTTTGACGTTTTTCATTGATAACTTCGTCAACACGCATTAGCATCTCGCTGTAAACCTTTCTGTCGAGGGTTCCAGATACTCTTTGTGGATTGCACCACAGCAATCGCACCAGATACAAAACATGATCGTTTCATTAGTCAAATTACACTTTGCTACGCTGCCGACGGGCTCACTGGGTGCAGATCAACCCCGTTTTTGGCCTGTATTGTTGAAGTAAGTACACTTTGCCTCACAAGTGACAATCCAGTCCAGAATTCTGTCCTTGCGTTGATATTCCAGCAGGATTAGTGCAGGCAAGAACAGGTCTGTCCTTATATGCTCACGAGTCAACTCATGCGGTACGCAGCGATTGAACTTGTACGTCAAATTTATGCGATGAATAGCGCGACTAATCGGCATGGCAAAGTCTAACTCCATAGCAAACTCTGGAGTGGTTGCATACTGATCTTGTTCCAAAAGTTTTTGCAGGTGGGCCTCACCAACACCAACAGGCCAGAGCGATCTGTTTCTTGAATGCTATAGTTCTTGTTTTTTGAACTTTCGGTACCAAGCCTTCACAGTGTCATATGATACAACATTAGTAAATAAAGCTGCACACATGATTGGGTTAGATTCTGCAGCTGACGTTTTGCAGCAGAACTGGAAGTAAATGATGGTTCTCATCTGGTGGCGTGATAGTTCCATTTCAGACACCTTAATGATTTCCATCCCTTGGGTCGATAAAATGAATACCACGTTCGCTTGAGAACTAAACACTCGGGGTCTTGAGACAAGCTCACCACTTGTTCAGGGCATACGCTTACGCCCTCCGAGGCCCATGGTCAAGAAAGCAGATTTCGGGCACTGCAGGCATTGGCCCGCTAGGGCTGTTACACCACTGAATTTTAGTTTTATACTTAATAATAACGTTATTTTTTACAAATTTTACAAGACAGTGTTTTAAAGCAAGTCTCTTCCTTTCAAAATGCTAAAAATTGTTCGACAAAATATGATTAAAATTGCGCAGATGGCAATGGCGAGAAATTTTTGTTAAATTCCGAAATATTCTCTTACTATTGTATTTTTCTTTTTCGTTTCTTTACTTTACATTTTTGTGTATGGGTGTGTGTATTTCTGCAACCTTCAGATAATAATAACTTTATTTTAACTTGCAGGAAACTTGATTTCTAAAGTCTAAAAATTGGGATTTAGGCTTTTAATTCCAAAGTATGTTTTTATTTGGAGATATAAATGCATGCCGTGTGGTCCGAATGTTGTTTCAAGATTATTCAGAGAAATTTGAAACAAATTTTAGCCCAAAGGATGTTAAACTGAAAAATCTGGATCTTATACGTATATGATTCTTCAAGTATAGTTTGTAGGGTTTATATTTGTTTTAAATAACATTTATTTTAAGTTTAAGCTATCTTTCCTGTCAAGCCTTTACTTTCCCCTAGAATTGCCAATGCCAGAGTATGTAAATCGTAGTAGAACGCGCAGAGTATTCAAATTTTAGCAGAAGTAAATTGAGCTAAATAAAAAGGGATTTAAACCCTTCTTACGAGTTTGTATAATTTACAGTTCATAGCAGTCACTACTACTGTTGCTGACAAGTTGGGGCCACGCAACATCATAAGTTGACCAAATAGTAGAAGAAATCCTCGCCGCATCAGCTCTAAATCTGGAGCTGAAAATGAATGGCCTGTTTGAAAATGAATTCACAGTTGTTCTGTCAAACAATGAAACTAAGGGAATGTGCGATTGAAACCTCAGCAATGTGTTGCGGGATTATAAAGAAAGCGTCAAAATTCTAGTAGGATAAGAATAAAATATGGAAACAAAAGCTTACAGTATGTTCAAGAGAAACTGCAACAAGAGAAAAAATTTAAAAAAAAAAAAAAAAAAAAAAAGAGCTTAATATTTATTTGTTTATTTTATTAAACATTTATTTCAATGTAAGTTGTTTAAGTTGTTCAGTTTTTTGTGCTAATACTTTCTCTTTAATTCTATAAAGTTCCACCTATCGGAAGCGATATTTTCTGCATACTACAGATTTTGCCGTCCGTTAATTGATTAATGATTGGTGCATTGTCGTCGCAATGAAAAACTTCTGTTATATCATCTTCATTTATTACCGCTTCTCCACATTCCTTTAAAAAATCCAATAACTGGAAAATTTCAAAGTTAGTTTGCGATGTCCAAAAATCTTCAAATTCCCGGCTATCATCTTCATCGTCCTCACCATGAAATATGGTAGGTAGCCATAAATTATGCCAAGCATTTTTTAACGTATCTGGAGACACATCCTCACAACGCGCATCCGCATGCTTAAACGCGCATTAACGCGCATGCGTAAAGCATACAAAAAAAGTTTGTGGCTTTGAGGTCCAGATTATAGATCATTCCGGATAATGGACGTCCGGATTATGGACTTTGTACTGTACACATCTTTCTACAGCAAACTAATTTCCAGCATTTCTTGAATTTTGACCTATTCTGCTAAGGATTAAATTTCCACCAGTTTTACTTAACATTTAATTTTTAGTTATTGTGAATCCAAAGTGAAAATAGGTTTCTTTTTCCTTTTCATCACTTCGCATTTTTGTTGCGTGAATCGATCAGTTCAGTGACTTTACAAACTTTAAACCTGCATTTTGAAAATTCTGAAAGTCACAAAGAGGGCTGCTATAGTCACAAGATAGGGCTCATCAGATCTCGTTATTTTTACAATTTTTTAACTGCTTATGTATATATTTTTAAGGTATTTTTTAAAAAAATAATATGCATTTTTAGATGAGTTATATAAATTTTTTTCCAGAAAATTAAGAGTTCAAAGTGGAAGCGATTTTTTAGTTAAGCCTCTTACTCCAGTAGGAGCAGGGAAAGGGAAGTCAGTTGTTGAAGCTGAATAAAAACTGAATTGTTCTCCGTAACAGTTTTCGATTTTGAAGAATTTTCTGACATTGCTTCGGTGCACATACTTACTAAAGATAATCGTATACTTACATCTTTCTTACATAAAAGGTATATATTTAAAGATTTATTTTCGAAAATTTACATGAACAGTGGTTTTTGTATTATCTGTATATGGTCCATAATAATTTTAACTAATCATATATGAAATAATTTTTATAGTTTTGATCACATCCTGATTTTTGTTTTGTTTTGTTTGAGTAATTCGGTTATGAACGTTTTGTCAAAGTAAGTTTTCTGTACGGAATTTATATGAAATTCCGAGCAAATTTACTAATTTACTAAATTTTACCTTTTAGTTAATAAAATGAGTACTTATGTATTATTCCGTAAATCGTTGGCGGAAATTTCAGCAAAAGACGCCAATCAACAGTCATTACTGAGGAATTTTAAACAAAGTGACCATCCATAACTGGAGCTAGATCGCGAAACTTGGCCGGTCGACGGGATAATATGTAAGTACCATAAAATGATTTGGATTTGGTTTAATTGATTATGGCAAAGCACCAGAGGGCTATCTACCTTAAGGAAAGAATGCCTTCGTGGAGGATTTTCTAAGGGAAACTGGCTCGTATATACGTTACCTATGGGTAACGTATATACGAGCCACAATAACCACAATAAGCCACAATAACGCCCATGCAGCCAGCCCGTTCGCTTGGAGTCGACCTTAGGACGGAACTACCAATATTCAGCAATTTTATCACTCGGCCACTGGTGGGACACTATTCTAGGTTGAAGGTGGGCCCCCATTCTTGGTTGTAGGAAACCCACCATAAAATTTTCTTTTTAATTTAATAAAAAATATAACGCGATTTAAATTGTCGCCATTTGAAAGCTTATTTAATGGTTTTTTTTTTTTAAATTCATCAAATATCATTAGATATTTAGTCATGCAATCGTTTTGAAACATCCTATATAGGCTACATACATATGAAATTATACACATATTTATATGAATTAATGATCAGTTCTTACCATTTCTTTATTATCCTTCGGCTGCACTTTATCACCCATCCTCACAGAATTTACAACAGGCTTTGAATTGTTTTTATTCTTCATCATGAAAGCTTTTCCATCTTCTGAAATTGCAAAAGAGACAAAAAATTAAGTATTAAAGTAATACTTTAATTAGCATTAAAAAGTGTTAAATAAAATGTTTAATTGCGTCTTAAAATTATATAAGGCATTAGAAAAGTAAAAATTTCCTTTCAATTGTTCAAAGAAAATTTATATTTTTCTAATCATTTTAAAATTGTTTGGGTGATGCTTTCCTTAGAGGCTTTAAACTGTTGTCCATAAAAATCACGTTATTGAGCTAATGATTAAAAAATTGCATAATTCACATTTGCAAGATTAATTATGATTAATATATTATTGTATTTTTTATTTTAAAGACCTATCTTAATACTTCTACTGTTTCGCCTACTCTACCAGAATGTGTACAGAGGAGTTTTAACTACTGTCAGGTGTAATGGTTCTTAGACCTCAGAGTTCAGGCACGGTATTTTTGTATGGATTGCAGACTGCAGTTTTATTATTTCGCACATGTTATTTATAGTTTCAAATATTGAAAAATGTGTGTCTTTACAAATTTCTGCCATGCATACGCTTGCTAAATCATTATGCTATAATAAATATGAAAATTTGAATTTTGGGAATTTATTATTACATGTATGTTACTATTTTCGCTGCTTATTTTACAAGGTAACCAAAAACGTTCTTGCCTTTTCTGATATGACATTGGAAGAGTGAACCCCAACATAAAAATTGACTCCAAACCTAGCGATTAAGTGGTAAGGATGAGAGTTCGGACATTGACCAAGACTATAAATGCGCGTTGCATCGGTACTTCAAACATAACTCATACACCGACTAATTCAAATGGATTCGTCGTAGGATTTGTTTGCTGTAAGATTTTAAACTGGGCCTGTCAGCAGCAGAATCAAGTCGTCGAATTTACCAGGCCTTCGGAGATGGTGCCGTTAATGAACGAACAGCTAGGCAATGATGTCAAGGGAATATGAAGTTGAAGTCAAGGGATATGTCTCTTAGTGATGCACCACGCAGCGGTCGGCCACAAGCGCTGGACGATGAGGTTCTGGGAGCAGCCATAGAACGTGACAGTAGCCAGACATATGGTGAGCTTGTTACACACTTCCAGGTATCTGATGAAACGATCAGACTACATTTGCACCTCATAGGAAAGGCATGCAAGCTGAGTAAGTAGGTATCCCACTCACTGTCCGATGCAAACAAGCAACAGCATGTCGCTGCCTGTTTGTCATTACTTACTCGACCCAACAATGCATCCGTATTTGATCGAGTACTCACCAGTGATGAAACGTGGGTCAAGTATAAAACACCCAGGCGTTCTAGACATTGGTTGTCACCACCACTCCTGCGCCACTCCCACTGCGACACCTTCTATCCAGCCACACAAGATCATGCTCTGTATCTGGTGGATTAGACTCCAAGTGGTGCACTATGAGTTCTTACCTGTGAGCTAAACCATCAGGGCAGGCCTGTACGCGCAGCATTTGGAAAGTGTACGTCAGGCACTGATGCATAAACAGTCAGCATTTGTCAATCGTAAGGGTGTACTCCTCATCCATGACAATACGAAACTGCATGTGGCTCGGAACGCCAGGGATACCATCCAGCGACTGGGCTAGAAAACACCACGCCATCCACCATACTCCACAGAACTCGCGCAAAGAAACTACCACCTTTTCTATTTCTTGGACAACCATCTTCATGGGAAATTCTCACACAATAGGCCAGACCTCGAAAAAGCTGTCACGGACTTCTTTGCTTCCAAGACTTCTCAGTTTTACCGCGATGGCATTGCACAGCTAGCCACTCGTTGGGAAAAGGCACTGGATCCCGATGGTCATCACTTTGAGGATTAGCGGTGATTATTATTTGTTTTATGACTTTTTTCCCGCGAGTGCCCAAAGCAGCAAGAACGTTTTTGGTAACCTTGCACGCATGTTCATAATAATAGCAAAATTTACTATAAATGGAAAAGAATTTTCATCATGTGGTGTTCTCTTTTATATGAAGCACATTTAATTGCGTATTTTAACTAACTTAAGTACTTCATTTGCATACACTGATGACCACGCTGCAGCTTTGTTATGTCTAAAATAAATGTGAATAGTGTTTTGTGGACGATAATCATCCGCTGTTCGTTGTATATGATCAATATATCAGAAAAAAGTAATTCATTCCACAGCTTTTGAGCATCAGTAAAATACTGCTTGTAATCGTTCATACCTTCTGAAAATTTTCCCACTTTTTCATCGTTAGATAAATTAACAATCTATGCTTAAATTATATCAAATCATTAGTTGTTCGCTTATCAGTTTATACAGTTATATTCATACCAAAAGGTAATTAAAATGTCTTCGAAAGCCTGTAGTTGAAATTAATTTGTAAAGCCTGTGTTAAAAGAGTTTACGTTAATCAAATAGACAATAAGTGTGAGTCATTTTGGCCGTCAGCTAGTAGGCCATTCTACCTCAATGATATGTTTACTGTTTTATACAAAAGTTACTATCGTTTGATTTTCTATTCTTTAAGTTAGATATAGTCACTTGAAAAACAAGACAGCGATTAGAATTTTCATCGCTGAACAGGCAACTTCCTGTTTTTTACTATAACCGATAACTGTGATTATTTTGACAGCAATGTAATTCATCGATGAAATATTCAAGTGCCTTTTTATAAATAAAATGTGATAAATATTTATTAACTATGATCGTAAATCTAGACTATGACACATGATTGACTTCAGAACAGCACCGGCGTCAACGGAAAGACTTGTGAGGTACATGAGATTTATTCATAATTTCGAATTTTGGAATTTTCTGACGGAACACTATTAAAACTATTTTTTGGAGCAAAGTTAGTATGTAATTCAGTAAATGTATTTTCCTAGTGGATGAAAAGGGTCACCATATTTATTTATTGTCATGACCTTCGCCACAGGAAGGTCACGGTATAAACTGTGGCTGCGCTTCGGAAGCTGATTCTCCTCATTACTTCCTTTTAAGCAGCGCACATTCGTTGTCACTTATGTAAATGTCATCTCGAGACAATGGCACATAAATTCTGGTCTTCCCCAAGGAAGTATCGTTGGTCCGCTTCTCTACTTGTATTATATCTCAGATTTTCCTCATCCAGGTATTGTAAACTACTCATTATTAGCCTATTACGACGATGATATGACTATCTCCATCAATTCTTCTAATGCTAAATATGCCATCTTTAAACTTCAAAATTTTGCAAGCTCTATTGAAAGCTGGTGTAAGACTTGGCGGGTTAAAATAAACGTCAGTAAATCTGTATACTTATTCTCTCCAAGACAATTAAGAAAAACACGAATTACAGAAATCTAATTTTGTTCGGCGTAATTGTTCCCATTGCTCCTTAAGTCATATACCTCGGAATCATCCTTAGTCAAAATCTTACTTGACATGATCACATCAACAGTATTTGCAGCAAGGCTATTGGTATCATTAAATAGATCTCTCAGTCATCGGCAGATTTTATAAACTAAGTCTCAAGACTAAGAAGTATAGTTACACTGCTTAAATTAGACCAATTCTCTGCTATGCGGCTCCAGTTTGGAATACAGCCATTGACCTGAAAATTCCCCAACAGGAAATCATACAAAATAAATTCTTTAGAATTATTACACGTGCGCTTTATCTCGTCAGCCCACAAGGACCTTAAAATTGAAGAACTTAAAACTTATCTACGAAGAACAAATGATAGTTTTTTCATTTTTCAACAAAGCTATCACTAGTGATTACGCTAACTACTCACAAATTTTCAACTAAGAAATCCAGCATGAAGACAGGTTTATTAGACCTCTGGCGACTCGCATTTTCACTGACAGTGATCACAATTTCACTACTTAAACATTGCTTACACGGGCTGAATTATGTATATATTGTATATGTTTATACATTGTTCCTTTATAACATGTGTTTATTGTCCATTTTGCATTATTAATTGTAACAACAGCCTTGCTGCAATAATTTGATACAACTCGTCTTCTTAAACAGTCCAATCAGATCCTAGCTTATGCATCTCTCAGATCGCTTCGCTGATTCCAGGTTTCAAGGCCCCCTTCTTTCTTCAAATTGCCTCCATTTCTGCTTAGCGAGAATACCGTGCCAGGAAACTCTTATCACCTTGCGCCTTTAGGCTTCATTCTCGCTGAGTCGACAAAATAACACTTTTGTGTAATAGCTCCGGTGATATGTTTATGAGTTCAGTTAACTCTTTACGGCACAGTATGTCCGGTCTGGTTGTAGAGTCATTAGGTTAATTGGAAGCAGAAAAGATGAAAAATATGCAATACCTTCGCCGGGAATCGAACCACGGACCTCTAGAATAGTGGCCCAGCGTGCTACCGTTACACCACGAAGGCACGCTAGGGAAGTGGGAGAAATACCTTATATGGTTACACCTAAAAATTTCCTTCTGTACGCACAGAAAAATTGAATAAAAAATGATTTATAGGTTATTATAGGTTACTCTGAACCTTTTTTATTTATAGTAGATGGCAGCTCAACACAAACCAGTCCACATACACTGGTGTGCAAAAATTAAGGACGAAGTCGAAAAATTAGCATATCAGCTGAACGAAGAGGCAGAGCGGACAGAAAGACCAATCAGGAGATTAAGTAAGGTGATGTACGGTAGCACATGCGCAGATATGCAGGTAGACGTAATGGGGGAGTGTCTGATTAGTATAAAGCATGTTGTCGGTGTAAGATCAGTATTTCTGGCAAAGTGATTGCACGCCGTATAGCAGTTAAAATCACACCGAGTTGCTGCCTCAGCGAGGAATGGCGAATAATCAATCTGTTAGACGACATCTGGATGCTTTTACCTCATTCGTCGAATCATTGGGAAGTTGGAGGAAGGCCGCAATGTGACAAGTGTGGCTGCAGAGTTCGGAATTGCTCACAGCATCGTTTCACGACTTTTCAAACAATTTCAAAGACAATTTCAAACTACAGGAACAGCTATCCGGGGGTTTAGTAGTGGTCGTCCACGAGGAACCACACCCGCAGATGACCGGTATATTGCCTTACAGGCCAGAAGAAACAGGCGGCAGACAGCGGGAGAAATCGCTAGACACACGACACAGGCGACTGGACGACCGATATCGCGTTTTACCGTGGCCAGAAGACTGCACGGTGGTGGTCTGTTGCCACGACGCCCTGTACGGTGTGTACCTCTAACGCCTGCCCATCGGAGAAGGCGTTCTCTGTGGTGCCGGGAACACCGGAATTGGAGAGACAATGAATGGGGACGTGTACTCTTTACAGATGAGAGCAGATTCAGTCTGAGTAGCGATTCTCATCGCATACTCATCTGGAGAGAGCGGGGAAGCCGCAATCATGCCTCGAACATCATTGAAAGGGACAGGTATGGAGGTGGCGGTGTTCTCGTTTGGAGAGGTATCATGCTTGGTAGTCGTACAGACCTTCACATCTTCGACGCAGGTTCAGTCAACAGGACCCGTTATTGTAACGAGATTCTTCTTCCATATGTGCGTCTTTTTAGAGGCGCTATGGGTCCGCAGTTCCTTTTCATGGACGACAATGCACCATGTCATCGCACAGCTCTTAGAGAGTGAGGATATTGAACGTATGGATTGGCCGGCACGATCTCCGGATCTCAATCCCATCGAGCATGTATGGGATTTTCTAGGCAGGCGCTTGGCAGTTCGTACCTTACCACCAGTAACGATTCCGGACCTTCGATTGGCGCTGCAAGACGAATGGGCAGCAATGCCTCAACAACTCATTGACACCCTCATTCTCAGCATGGGCAGACGCTGTGAAACCTGCCTAGCAGTCAGGGGAGATCATATCCCCTATTAAAGACCGGATGTTCCTTGCTGGACACCCATCACAGGGATGTTTCGGCGTTCAGTCGCATTGCGCTCCATGCTACTTTTCCAATAAAGCTTCTTTTTATCCCTCTGATTTCTCTTTTAGTAAGTGTTGCTTATATTACTCATGTCCTTACGTATTGGGGATCTTACGGTATTAAATGTGTTGATTTGGAAAGCTTTTGTACAAAGTTATATTGAAAAAACCGTCTCGTCCTTTATTTTTGCACACCAGTGTATTTTAGATATGTTTAGTTTTATAAAGACCCTCATTTTTCAAAGGAATCTTACAGATTTTTTTAGGGTATCAAAGGATTGCTTGAAAAGAAACGTCTATGTTATTTTTTTGGCTGTATGCTAATCTCCTTATTCTATATTAGTTTTTAAATTTTTACCTTGAAATCTTGCTTAAAATCAAACGGCGAACCCTAGGTGTGCCCAGACCGGTCTCACCGATCATCTAGGATAAGTGAGAGTCTGTATTCTTTGTTTCTCTGGATCTCATCGGTCAGTTCATTGACAACAATGGTCGTTTCAGCAATCTTTTGAAGCTCTATTCAATCAGTGTGTCACTTTGGGCACATCCACAGAATTAAAACTATAAGTGCTATCTTCACAAAATTTTACTTGTGTACTCCTCTAGGCCTAGTTAGACTGCCTACCTTTTTTTTTTTTTTTTTTTTTTAAATCAAAACTCCGACTTTAAAAGGTAGCGTGCCGGAAAGGGTTAAGGTCTCGAAATCACGCACTCAGAAACTCAGAAAGATAAAAACGCTTTTTACGACATGTCTTTCAAACGGCTGTTTTACTTACTTGTATTTGCATGCATTTTAAATTTATAGTTGGCCGGTATTACGGAAGTGAAATACATAAAAAGCAGAAGATACAGAAATGTAGATAAATACCTTGATACCCGAGTTCGTACCCATCTAATGCTATTTCCAATTCGGTTTTTTCTTTTGGGCTTTTCTTGTCTTTACTTGGCACTTGTCCGTCGACCATCATCGTAGGAGGTAGACTGGGATCGTCCGCATCCCCTCCTTCCATAGTCTGATCGGCAATTTGATTCTGGACTTTAGCACGAAGCCCCTGAATAATAAGAAAGAAATTCCTGAATTGAATTGAAAACAATAAAAAAAAAAAAAAAAAAAAAAAAAAAAAAAAAAAAAAAAAAAATCTGAAAGCTTTTAGATTTTATATTACGCCCGAAGGGGCGTTTTTAGCCGTTTATAGTGATTCGACGTAAATTGCCGTTTCGAGACTAATAGCCCTACTGGGGTAATGCCCCTTTGGACTAAAAACTCATTTTGCCTTGAAAATGAGTTTTTAGCATGATATAAAAATATATCATATGGGATATTAAAATATAATGGGATACTAAAATTATGTGAAGGAACATTTAAGTATAGCGGATTTAATATTAAAAATTAAAATTTAGCTGCATATTTAAAGATAAGTGCAAAAGATATTTATACATATTTTAAAATGACCTTTTTTGTTGTAATTGACGTTTTTCTTAAAACTTAAATGCCCTTTCTGACTGGTATTTCTCTGGTCTATAAATGAAACTCTTGATTTCCAAAATAGCTCCATAAATTCTCTATCAGAATAAGATTACAGATATTGGTGGCCACGGTATTCCCCGCTGTCTTCACTGTCAAGGATCTCATCAGGAAGCATCATCGTCGATAAATAAAAAGTCAGATCCTGATCCTTATGCACCTCTCAAAAGTCTTACATAATTTTCCAAGACCTTTTCCAATATCTTTGGCTATTCACAGCTCCGCCGTTGAAAACGTGTAGGGATGTATATCCATCGATCATTATTCCTCCGCATACCATCACATCTGTGTTACCGAAATGGTCACGTTCCATAACGTCTGGCGGAAGATCTCACGTTTCTGACTCCCTCTAGATGTAAACACGTGTAGAACCAGATGCTAAACTAAACCTCGACTCAGCAGTAAAGAGAACATAGACGACATTGGTGTTCACTCCCCTTTTGATGTTCTTTACACCAATTAAGATGATTTGTCTCCTCGACTTTCTGGCATAAAGGTCTTTTTCATTAAGCCTCCTGTATATATTGTAGTTTGCCATGATACAACAGTTCCTGTGGGAGCTGCAAACTCTAAACGTAACTGCCATGATGCAATACATTTCCTGTAACGAAGGGTAGTTGTTGCCATATGTCGCTATTGAAAAACAGTGTTATTCGTTTACCACCTTATCAGGCGTCGTTACAACATTTACAATATTTCATATTATTTCCATAATATGTGTCGTGAAATATTCATACATCTCACTCTTTCCATGATTATTTGCCATGGATCTAAGTGGTCAATGATTTGCCATTTTAGATTCTTTCAAATGATGCTTCGAATCCACAGCAAACCGTGTACACATTGAAATCAAAAGCTTCACTGCAGAAATTCACTCAGATACTCACTTTGCGCAAAGCGTTTGATTCACCGCCAGATTACGTAACGTCTTGATTTGCACATCAGAAACCCTGTGGGCACTTTTGACTGGATAATGATAATTAGGCTTTTACACATGCCCTACAAAGCTGGATTACATGGATTGGACATTTAATGTCATGAATGTAACCTGTTACGCCACAAGAGTACGCAAAATGACAATAGAGGCATATGACTTAGTGACGATTCACTAAGTCATATGCCTCAAATTCAAGAGATGACAAAAATCGTCCACTGTAGATTCACCACACTAAGGACACCTATACCAGTGTGAGTATTAATGTCATATTATTAATTTGAAATATGTCCTAATTTAGACTATGTTTCAGTATTTCAGAAAATCTCAAGTGGCAACACATTACCCTTAATAAAGCTTTTTTCTGGAACCTAAATTTTTCATACAGTTCAGTAAGATATTTCATGATTCAAAAATTATGGTATTGAAAGAAAATATAAAAAGTATTCATCGAGGAAGAAGGGCAAGTTATTTTCTTCAGGCATATTAAATATTTCAATTTATTTGTGTCTAACAATTTCATGACAGGACACTGACTTTGACTTTCATAGATTAACAGTTTAATAAATGACACCACATATCTTTACCTTTAGAAGATTGAGCAATTTCATCTTCACCCATTTTTTCCCTCGATCAATACGTCTGAAAGCTTCTGCTATCCCTTTGGTATCGTCTCCAGCAGGCGCTTGAGACAGATTTGAGGCACCGAAAGAAGACAGTAACAGAGCAAGAAAAAGATTCAGCACCTGTAATTGAGGTATTAATTTAAACACAAATGTAAAATTTAATAAAGCTTTGGGAAAAAAAATACAGATATACGAATTTGCGAACATGTATGTGTTAACTTAGATGCTCATCACACCGTAAATATTAACGATGATAGCGTAGTTGTGTGATGGCAGTCGTAAAAACCAGCTAAGCACTAGTTTTCCTGTTGATATTGCATTTTTAATAGAGTCACAGATAAGTTGGCCCAAAAAACTCCGAACGTTAAAGTGGTATTTTTATTCTAGTCGAAATGTTTAATGAAAGACGAAGCAGCAACCAAGAAAGAGTAAGCCTGCGAGCCAGAGAATCGAGAGGAGAACGCGTAGTTTGCAAATGAAAGTTTGGAATAGCTCCACTTTCTTCCCTTATTGGATAATTTTAAGACTCCATTTGCAAAGTCTCAAATCATATGAGGAATGATAGTTTTGAAATGACGAACTGTAGAGAAATTTATTACTAGGATTTACTATTTTAAGGGAGAAAGAAGGGGATACAAATGGTTAATGACGAATGCAAGAAACCTGGATGAAATATTGGGTTTTCTTCCAATAGGTGATCTACCTCACTTAACTGTGTAGTTACTTTACAGCTCGATAGGTGGCGACACTAAAATGGTTGTTTTTGCACATTTTTTCTTCCATATAATTTGAATTTGCATGATCAGATTATTATTATTTAATATTAATAATTTTATACATTTTGCAAAAATATTTGTTTCTTTTGCTGTGTTTTATGCTGCGAATGGGAAAACTTTCAGTTTGCGAATTAAAGGGTGAAATACTTCTTTTTAATTAGATTGGTTGGTTTAAATATTTTAGTGAACTACTCGATATTAATGTAACTAAAAGTGAACCCTAATTATTATGCATACAGAATATATCAAGAATTTCGCGCATATAGTGAATGAAACAGATACGAGGTAAGACAAAATACACCCGATTTTGTACTGCTATGTTTAGTTTTTCAAAACCTACTTACAAACAATTTTTTGCAAGCAGAGTATTATAAAAAGAAAGATAATGAGTTTAAGAGAATAGATTAAACATTGCTGGCGCTTAAGATAACAATTATTTCATTTGCTTCTTATTTCAACTCTTTGCAATGCAAGCGTGGAAAAAAACATATTCTGCTTGAGAGTAAATTGATAACAAAGATTAGCATTTTAAAAACTCTTCGCAAATTAAACGGAAAAAATTGCATGTGAAAGAACGATAAGCATAAACATTGTTCCTCGTTTCTCTCATTGCATTTCAGATTATTTTACAAACAATAAGCTGAAAAAGACGTGGCGCCGTCTAGTATTGAATCGATTAACTAACTAACGAAATTCGGTAGATCGCCAATTGAGACAATGCTACATCTTGTTTCACTTTGAAAAACTAGATTTCACTATTAATTAAATACCATGTATAATTTTATCAGCTGTATACATGCAACACATACACAAATTAATTCATTTACAAGTTAATTCATGGGAATAAAGACAGTAAGAAAAGAAGTAGTTTTTTTAATTGCATTGATATAATATATTACTAAAATATTGTTGAAATTGTATGTTGAAAATATACAGTAAATAAGTTTGGATAGAAAAAGAGTATTCAGTGCTGCAATACAATAATTATACTTCGATTCTTACTTCCTTGTTCAAAGTAAAGGAAGTTTGGTAATCACGAAAAAGTGCAGGTACCATATTTCAACGAAAATACCCATTTTGACCGCAATTGGATGAAATTTAACGATGTTTCTGCATGACATCTGCACTTAAGGAAAGAATGGACTCTTTTCCTCCAAACGAATTATAAAAATAATTGAAAATGGATTCAAAAGAGATTTTTTTCTTGGCGTCTGTATGTACGCGTTTAAAATTTTAACTTGTATTATTTTTTAATGACAATAGCTATTTTAAATTTTCAAATTTTAGTGAATTAAATTAGCAATACCAGTTAGATTCCCGGTTTTTTTAAAGTTTTTCTGTCCAAAAATTAATTTTAGAATTTAAATGATATTGTAAATTAGTTCGCAGCAATAATAATTATTTTCATTTTTATTTCTTTGCAATTTAAATTTCTTGATTAAATTTTATTTTTATAGTTACTTTATACGAATAGAGAATATTTGTTACATTGTTCCATAAGAAACTAATAGTAAAGTTAAATAAAATTAAATAAAATAATTCTCTTGCGCCATTGCTGCAGGGAAGGAAATTTGAATTTAACAAACATTCTCTCATTCAGATAAAGCTAATTTAAATTTTAAATTATGAAAATTCAATTATATATAAATAAAAGATTAATTGTTGCTGCGAATAAATTTGCAATGTCATTCAAATTCGAAAACCATATGTAAATTAAATCAAAGTATCTAAAAACATGAAAAAATAGTTAATAATCCTAAAAATTTTGGAGAATTTTTAAGACTAAATTAATTTGCATAGAGCGAATAATTGTTGAGCAGGCAGGAGACAGATCTTTTCAAGGGTACGCTTCAAAGGGAAATTGACTATATGTACACTCTTAGGAGAAAAAAAAAAAAAAAAAAAAAAAAAAAACGACGCACCACGATGCACCGAAAAGATATAAAGCAAATTGGACACAAATTGATATGCATACAGGTTTCGACGGAAAATGCAAAATTTTACATTTTGGCTGCCAGTAAATGAATGGTTGTCGCTACAGCGCATCAGATCTGCGCAACTGGCAGGATATTTAAGAGGAGAAATTACGATTCCAGGTCATAAATTCTTCACCAATTTCATTCCGTGTACTCTGGTAGACAGTAACAATGCCTCGCATACAGGTACGCGAACGTTATGCGCAGATGTCAGAATTTGAGAGAGGTCGTGTAGTTAGACTCAAAGAAGACGGTTGGTCTTATCGGCGAATAGCTCAACATTTGAGCAGGAGCGATGCCACTATTAGACGATGTTGGCAGGAATGGGTGAACCATGGCCGCACACAGCATCAAGAAGGAAGCGGTAGGCCTAGAGAAACGACAGAACGTGAAGACCGAGCAATCGTCAGAGCGACACTCACAGCCCCAGATGCATCATTATCATCGATTGTATGTGCAACTAGTGCTTCAGTGACCGGAAAGACCATTCATAGACGGCTCACAGAAAGGGGGCTGAGGTCACGGCGACCCTTGCGCCGACTACCATTGACATCTGTACAACGTCAAGCCCGTTTGCAGTGGTGTCCGGCACATTCGCACTGGCATATCAATGACTAGAGTAGAATAATCTTCAGTGATGGATCACGCTTTGAACTGAGCCCGATAACCTGAAGGCGAGTCTGGAGACGCCCCAGACAGCGATGTGATACCAACGTGACTATCTTCCGGCAGACAGGCCGACAACCAGGAGTGATGGTCTGGGATGCCATTTTGTTAGCATAAATTTAGGTGTTTTGCATAATGAAACTCGAAAGGCATACGAAACGAACTTGCGCCAAGGTATATATTGGCGAGAGAAAGTAAAGCTCGTGTGCAATGCAGTATATTTGATTTTCACCCTAGCTACTTGTACCTGGCCAAAGGTCTAATCCAGTAGTACTTTCTTCTCTTTCAGGTACGATGGCAAAGTATGTCCTGTTTATTTTTCTTATTGCCATAAATATAGGTAAGCCTGATGATATTTAGTACTGATGAAATGATTCTATGTAAGTTATCTTCTTTTGAATGCTTCAATGTTTTAATGTCCTTGAACATATTACTTTTTGTTATGCTTAAGCTTAAGCAAAATTATCCTATTTTATTAAATAAAGATTTCGTAGTTAATCTTTTGACTTATGATTCTTTAATTCTGTGCTTGAGGAAACGTACTCATTACGCCTTCAGTGCTAATGCACAACCAACACATTTCATTTCATAGTCATCCGTCGCAACCTTACAGCACAGCTGCTCGTCGATGAAGTTCGAAGGCCCGTTGTGTTGCCCTTTATGTCACTCCACCCTGGGCTTATATTTCAGCAAGGTAATGCCCGCCCCCACACTGCCCATGGTTCTACTGCTTCCCTTAGCGCTTTCCGAACATAACCTTGGCCAGCAAGGTCGCCGGATCTCTTTTCTATTGAGCACGTTTGGAGCGTTATGGGCAGGGCCCTTCAAATAGCTCGGGATATTGACGATCTAACGCTCCAGTTGGACAGAATTTGGCACGATATCCCTTAGTAGGACATCCGCAACTTCTGTCAATCGATGCCAAGCCGAATAACTGCTTGCATAAATGCCAGAGGTGGACAAACACGTTACTGACATTTTCACTTTGTAAAGCTCTATAATTTCAATAAATCATCCAAATTTTCTCAAACTGTAATAATTTTTTTTTCTGTACCGCTTCATTTTTTTTTCTGTATATTACTTCTACCGATTTTGGTCCCATTCGGATAACTCTTTCTTGGTGCGTCGTTTTTTTCTTGTCTAAGAGTGTATATATGTATACTCACTCTGTTACTCTGCTCTGAACAGTTTCTTTTTTTCTTATTGTGAATTTTTGCTTTAAAAATGATTTAATTATGTTGTTCTTATCTTCCAGTTAATTTTTTATGCCTTTAGTTAATCTGTTTGCAATATATGTAGAATTACTAACAATTGAAAAGTTAAGATTCAATAACACCCCGAACAAGTATTAATTTAGAGGTTTTTGCTGTTTGACTTAAATTAAACTGAAAAGTTGTTTAAGTGTGGCTAAACCTAGTTTTTTGTCACCATAGCAGCCATATTTGTTTACATTTGAAACTTAAGACCCTATAACATACGCTTTCGCTATGCGGAACTGGACGTCGAAAGAGGCATTTCTCAGAACCCGCACATTCCCACGAAACCTACATAGCTAGGTTACCATTTTCAATTACTAAACAGACTTGAACGCCAAACAGTAATGTATTATCGCTCAGATTGGGATCGCATGATGCTTCAGAAGCAGAACTTTGGTCTGATTAGTTAATCTCTACCTGGGACAGAGCTACAGACGGAACATTTTCGGCGAAGTTTCAAAATATCGCGCATATTCGGGACATCGTTTCCGTAGCTAGGCGGGATTTTGCTTCGAGTGGAAATGTTTTTTCTAGGAATCCTTAAACCAATGCTACCGGAATCTCATTCCTCAGAAAAGTCCCGTCTAGCCGGGAACGTCGCTAGGTGTGATAACCCCTTTAGCAAAATATTAAATTAGTTCTTTCTGCACCTTGAGTATCTTTTTGCCGAGTGGGACCAAACGGAAACTTTTAGTTTTGTGTACCGAAAAATCTACCTTTTTGCCTGCTGGCCAAATTGCTTGTTTTGGCGTAGAAACACCAATTTTAATTGTAAAAATTGCTTTTTTTAAACTGATTTAATTCTATTTGATGTCTACAATTTTTAATGAAAATATTTTGAGATTTTATGTATTTTTGCCTTTACCGCGAAGTGAGAACTGAATTAATTGAATGAGAAATATATCTCTAATGAAATTCAAGGAAATACGTTTAAATAAAATACAGGAAAAAATGTGTATAATTTAATATTCCATACAAGGAAGTCGTGGTGTACACATTAGCCTTTTTTAAATTTAAAACAGAATGAAAATATAATTGGTCAGATACTTACCACTAAATTACCTATGACAACAGTGGCTAAGAAAAATGGAACACAAGGCCACCCGGAGACTACCATGCAGTCCCACATAGATTCAATCCATTCGCCACATAGGACACGGAATACAATCATGAAAGAGTGCATGAAATCTCTAAAGTTCCACCTCGGAACTTCGCCACCATAAAAACTATAAAATTAAATAAATATTAAATTTAGTTAATATTTGTTAATTCTTTATAAAGTCATAAGATTTCAAATATATTATTTATAACACTAATGGTAGTACAAAAAAGAAAAAAAGAAAGTAGATATAATAAGCACACTGAAAAAAGCAAATAACTAAACTCCGCCCAACTGGTATAGTGGTTAGTGCCATTGACTGCCGTGCCAAAAGGGATCGGATCCGGGTTCGGATCCCTTGTCGGGTTCGAATCCCGGAATTGGCATGGATGTGGGTGAGGCGTGGCGGCACTCTAAATATGCGACGAGCCGAAAGTGCTCTCGTGTGGTTTGGTGGAAGGCGAGAGGAATAAGAGACCCTCGGACACCTCTTCCGCCCCCGGGAGTGCACTCTATCAAAATTGGGGGCGGAACTGAGCTAAATTGCACTGTGACCTCAAAGGTACTCAAGGCCAACTCAAAGGTACGCGCATTCTAGCGCTTCTTGCCACAAACAAAGCTTGAGGGTTCGTGGGCTTGGGCTGACTACGTCAGACAAGTGAGCATAAGCAACAACAGCAACAAACGGAGTGATGTTCATATTCAGTGAAAATTAACTTTTGTCAATGTCCGTGATAGAGTCATAGGCATAATTAGAATATTAGTTACCATTTTTAAGAGATTAGGAAATTCCTGCTTGTGTGCAAGATGCGAAATCAAATAAATCAACAAGCAGTATGAAACAGAAAATGTTAAAAGCATAAGCCGCAAATATGTACAATTTGCAAAAGTATAAAACCATCTGCGGCGGACCACACAGAGATGAGAAAGTCGTGTGTGCTCCCCACAAGTCCACTGTTTCCAAACCTTTACGAGGTCTCACCCGACATGGTTCTGACATTTCAGACGCAATAATTCGTTCCAGTTGACAGTACAAAAGACATAGCTTCACGACCAGTGTCAAGAGATCTTAGCGTTCTGCACTGTGCAAGCTTCTCAATTTCAGGAGTGCTCACGAGCCAATGATCTCGTTTTTCCTCTTATATCGTTCCAGATATAAGGAATCAGAGGATGTAAAATACTACTGAATAATTAAAAAGGCGTGGCTAATTCAGTCTGAAGATTTTTTCCATCGGAATAGCACATCAGAATGTTCCTGAACTCTCGACCAGAGATACCCAGAATGCTCTTGACTACAAAGAACCTCGTGAACAGGTTCCTCACATCACGAGAATATCACTTCAATATTTTTTCTATGCTGTCCATGAATTATATATATTTGTAAAGAGCTTCTCGTAATTGTAATAAATATGTTTTGAGTTAAAAATGCAGTAAGTATTATTCAACCTCACAAATATACCAACCATTATACGAAGTCAGAAGCGTTACCTGTCACCAGCCACCCACACATGCATACTTAAAGCGCTAAATATAATTAAATTTGTTCCAGGGAAAAAAAAATATCTCATTTATTAACAATATTTAGTATACTGCCACCTCCAACCTGAAACGTTTAAAACCTTTTTCAAAAACATGTCTTCGAAGAATAAGGCACTGAAATGTGTTTCCTCATCTGAATATTCATATCATATTACTGATATCCAGTTAAGAACAAAACCATTTTTTTTTTTTCTTGAGATTCCCGTGTTTTGTATAATTTAATATACTTTATATATAATTATATTTATACAATATATAATATAATTATAATAATAAAATTTGTATAGTTTTACTAAACTCATGTGAGTGTTTACTTTCATTTTTTAGCGTTTATTGGTCTGTAAGGCGGATTATTCGATCCTTTTCCTTCCTTTTCTTTATTTAAAACCTTATCTACCTACATATAAATTAATAATTAAGAAAAAATCAATTTATTATTAGTTTTATCTCATCAATTTACTTCCTCGTAAGAAGTAATCGCGAAAAATTTCGTGTGTCGTATTTCAACGAAAATATCCATTTCGACCGTTCTCTAAACTATTTGAATGATGTTTTTGCGTGACATCTGTACGTCCGGGCAAAATAAAGGACTGTTTTTGCCGAAACGGTTTGCAAAATGGATTTAAAATGGATTCAGAAGAGATTTTTTCTTGATGTCTGTATCTACGTATGTATGTATCTCTCATAACTCAAGAACGAGTACACATAGAACGTTGTAATTTTTAATGTGGGACTGCTATAAGGTACAGTTATACAAATCCCTTTTTCGTTGCAATCGGCTTTAGACAAAAAATTCTTTTTGCGATTTGTATTGTTAAGTCTCATATTCTGCAATTTTTAATTTTTAATTTTCTTTTAATAATTCCGTTTTTAATTGTTTCGTTCATTTGCGTTTATTCCGTTTTATAACATTTTCCCGGAAAAGAAATAATTAGACTTTTATAATTTTTTGAACAACACTTTTATTTCATTTACGTTCCGAATTTTACTTTTTTTTTTGTTTTAAAAGTGATTGAATTATACGTTTTTTATGTCTTCGTTAAGTTTTTTTATGCCTTTAGTTAATCTGCATGCAACAGTTGTAGAATTATCAACAATTCAAAAGTTTAAGTTGCGAGTTAAGCCTAACAAATGGCCATTTGTTTGCTTCTAAAACTCAGTAGAACAGTGAATTAAGTCAATTTCTGACACTTAATGTCTTTTTGTCGATTGGGATTAAACGTAAACTTTAAGATTTGTGCACCGAAAAATCTGCTTTCTTGTCCGCTGGCCGTATTACTTAGTTTAGCGTAGAAACTCTAATTTTTAACTGTACAAAATGTTTTAGCTGTTTTAACTGTATTCGGTGTTTTATGTGTTTCTGTATTTTTCAACTTTAATGAAGATATTTTGGAATTTTGTGTATTTTTGCGTTGTCGTAAATTGAGAACTGAATTAATTGAATGAAAAATATATCTGTAATGAAATTGAAGGAAATAAGTTCAAATGAAATGCAGCGAAACATGTGTATAATTTAATAGCCCGTAAAAGGAAATCATCAGATTTTTTTTATTATGCCTTTTCTTATTTTTTTTTTGTTATGTTTTTTTGACATATTTATGATAAATTAAGTTTCCATTTTTGTTCGATTGTTTTCAGTTCCATTTTGTTACCTGTATTACGTATAATCGACACTGTATTACTGTATTATGTATAATTGACAATACTGTGTTTATACTTGCTGTTGGAAGAGTACGATTAGACTGTAACTAATTCTGTTTACGACGTAAAACGACTTCAGCCAAAAAATTATCTTGCTTGTAGCTATGTAACGAGTTTAAAATAGTCCTTCTATTCCTATGTTAAGAATTGAAAGCATTCTTCCAATAATTTTGTAATTATATAAAGAATTAATATTCCTGTAACTTTTTGTAACTATGGACATAATTAAAAGCTTTTCTCTCAATTATTTTTGTAACCATGTAAGGAGTGAAAGTATTCTTCCCATTCTGTTTTGGACAAATGCAAAGAATGAAATGTTTGAAATTCTGTTTAGAAAAACATTTCTTCTGCTGCAACGGTTAAAATGGCGAAACGCTTATCTTTATTGCGTGACCGAATCCGGGTAACCACCGAAGTGAATATTTTCGACTGGCGTCGCATCCAAAAGGCTTTTCTGTGTTTTATATTTCGAGCACGAATAGAAAGAGTGGTCTGCAAATAATTATCAGACTGGAATTAAATCACTACCTGACTGGGATCGTTACAGACTGGTTAACTGAGATCAGGTTTCCTAATCGTTTTTAAGTGGAAATGCGTAAAAATTGAACGACTTTTCCCATGTGTTGTTCGAATGCAACATCCGGATGCGAACATAACGAATTTTTCAACTTCATTCCTTTGGAACTTTTGTATGTGTTTTGTAAGTATGTAACATATCCAGTAATAAGTACTGATTATAAAGCCATGTTTACAAAGTCCTACTGGAAGACGAGGACAGCAGAAACAGCATTGTTGTAGATATAATTGATACACTGATTGGTTGGTATTAGATATCGTCTTTAAAATTGCCACTGTGTTGCGTTTTTTTTTTTTTATTCTTCTGACACCAGTTGTTACGTTATGTTCTTCCTACACGTTCTTACGGGGTTCGTGAGGATTTGGAGTGAATAATGACAATAGTACTTGATGAAGTATCGAAGAACACTTTATTGGCCAGTATTGTCAGGACAGCTCCAAAACACGTTTTTACAGGCGTCAATGAACGACTATAAACACGCTGACATGACCAGCGACACAACATCCAGGTTATTAGGCTATCACGTTGGAGACAGCTTCACGGCCAAGCACTAGAGTACAGCTCTCGACTCTTCTTGGTTGTTCTCGGAACTCCACGTACTCACAAGACTCTTCACGCTACAACTCGCGATGCAATCGACGACACACAGAGCACAGCTCCCAATTCTTTGGTTCAGTCGTTCCCGGAGCTCAACACGCTCGACGATGCACTAACCGCGATACACTACAAGACTCTTTCGGTGAACTTGACGACCCACTCGGCACTCGCTGGCCGGCTGTCAACTCGATCGACTCCGCAGGGATTGACTCGCTAGACGAGACACCAACTCGATACTAACTAACTCTCCGCGTACCAGAAGGGTTTATATAGCTTTTGACTGGTGTTCGAGAACATTCTGGGCTAAACCGGTAAGAATTCGTTCCAGAAGGTTCTCCATCCGTCCATGGCATATCGCCAATTTTGTTGCCAAATGTCGACAAATGCGCGATTTCTCCCCAAATGTGGTAACCCCGCCTTATCTTGCTATTTTATGGCAACCCTAAAACTGCTTTTTGTGAAAGCTATCTCACTGCACCTGGACATTCCGTAACACTGTATGAAATTCCTGTGTTTCCATCAATAATTCAAATATTCCGGTAACTGAAAAATGCCAAGGTCTAAGGTCTAGAGATTTGGATGGTCATTCATTCTTATAATGACTGCTTATATCTCAAAATTGAAGATAATAATTGATTAGAAGAAAAGAAATATGTAATGGAGCTCCATCATGCATAAATGACTGAAAAGCCAATGTTCCCCTTTGTCTCGTACTAAGAAATACGTTATTTCGCATCAAGTTATCATTTGCAATAGTGATAGTCCAAACGAATATCACTATAACAAATAAAGTGATAGCTCATAAATGCAGGATTCCAGTATGACATTGTAGATTCTAACTGTAAGTAAAATTTCACTTCCATATGGAAAAAAAAAAAAAAAAAATCTCTGTGCTGATCGCGTTACCATAATTTGTAAACCCATTAAAATGTAATTTTGAAATTATCATTAAACTTTGGATATCTCCATAAATTTAAAAGCTTCCTGAAAGTGTGAAAAAGTATCCGTTCCTGTTCTGTGAAGGTATAAGACGTAGTTCAGCGTACAAATCAAATATAGTATAATCAGATATAAAATTGCACTTGATATAAGAATTTATGAAACAACTTACTTTTCTTTATATTTTTCATAATTTGTTCCAAAAAGCTGCATGCCCATGACAGCAAAGATGAAGATAATGATACCCAAAACAAAAGTTAAATTTCCTAAGGCTCCTACAGTCTTTCCCATAATGGAGATGAGTAAATTCAGAGTTGGCCAAGACTTAGCTAATTTAAAAACCCTTAACTGGAATAGAAAAGGTAAATTAAATAGTAATCATGTTTCATCAAGAAATGCGCTCATGATGTACATTACTACATCTAACAAATTATATTGAAACTCTAAAAAGTAATACAAATATATATTAACAAAATATTGCGATTTGAAGTTTGGACCACGCAAGGAGAAATATAAAAAGATTAAAATTTAAAGATTTCAGGCAGTTCATTGTTTTAATTACTCGAAATAAAAAACACTAAAAAACATGGATCTTACAACCTAAATTTTTATTCTAAAAACCAAATGAGCCAAGTAATGCTTACGTCATTAACATAACATCCACATATGATATACTACAAAAATTTTGCACTGATGTACAGAATAATGAAGCTATCTAAATAGTTTATTTGTAAATTATTTTAAATTTCTTGGATATACAGAGGCTGTTCGCCTACTTTTACGTAAAAAGGAAGTATTGTAATCCCGAAAAATTTCAAGCATCATACTTCAACGAAAATATCCATCTTGACCGCTATCGAATGCAATTTAACGATGTTTTTGCGTGACATCTGAACGTAAGGACAGAATAAAAGACTCTTTTTCACTAAAAAAATTATAAAAGTGATTTAAAATGAATTCTGAAGAGAATTTTTCGTGGCGTCTGTACGTACGTACGAACTAACGTATATACGTACGTATCTCGCATAACTCAAAAACGAGTAGCTTCAGAACGTTGAAAATTTTTTATATAGGACTGCTATAATATGTAGATGCGCACCTCGTATTTTGGTTGCAATTGGCCTCATCAAACGTAAATAAATATATGTATATATATATCCATTTTGTTAACCGGCTCAGTAATCTCAGTTTCTTTATATTTATATGTTTGTAAGTTGTGAATTTTTTGCTTTAAAAATGATTGAATTATATTGTTCTTATCTTTCGGTTAAGGTTTTTATGCCTTTACTAAATCTTCATTCAATATTTGTGGAGTTATCAACAATTTAAAAGTTGTTAAGTGAAGCTAAGCCTAAAATTTTTGCGATGGCGGACATGTTTGTTTACATTTTAAATTTCGCAAAATAGCGGATTTGTTGCCAATCCAGAGAAACTAAGCTTCGCAACAACAAAGATAACGCCTTCTTTTATTATTGGGAATTAAATCATGTTTAATCGGTCATAGAATTTATTCGAGGAAATAAATGTTTAAGATTTACTTCGTAATTTTAAATATAGATAGTTTGAGTTTTTATGTATTTTGGCCTTGTCGGGAAGTGAGAACTGAATTAATTGAATGAGAAATAAAGAATCGTCTGTGAAAATTTGTTTCTTTTTTGTTTTGTTTGCTTAATTTCTTTATACATCGTTCTAGATTTATTATAGTATTTGAATAGAACATGTGGCAACGATTCAAATGATATAAATTTATATGCATTCTGAGTTATAATATGAACGAAATATAACGCTGTCAAGTGAACCTAGCGCCAGAGTGTCGCTATGATAAACAAATATATTGAATTTTAAAGAGTGCATTTATTCTATTGTGATTTATGCGCTATTGAAGAAGTAGATTTAATTGAATCCAATAAAGTTTAAATGAAATGCAAGAAAAAATGCACATAATTTAATATTCCGTACAAGGAAGTCATGTCGTGTACACATCAGAATTTTTTTTATTTTCGTGCAAAATTTCACTCTTAAAGAAGCGAAGGATGGAAGGCTATGTTTATGTTCTTTCCGAAGGAAATTATTCGCATCCTATTGTGTTGAAACATGAGTAATGGCCGTTTATGTTGTGTTTAAAATTACGCGGTAAAAATAAAATGTATTGACATAATGTTTCGTGTCATTCGAAAGAGAATCTTTCCCTCTAACAAGATGGCGTATTTGACGTTTTCATCTGAGCTAATTTTTGTTATTTTTCAGATCATTAAAATGAGTGTCAAGTCAACACACACACACACACAAAAAAAAAAAAAAAAAAAAAAAAAAGGCGCTTCTGACACCTTCTTCTTTTTGGATTTAATCGAGGCGCCAATGCTTCAGAAGCTGCCCGAAAGATTTGTGAAGTGAAGGTGCAATGCCTGAACGAACTGGAAGAACCTGGTTTGAAAAATTCAAAAACGGAAATTTCTACTTCGAAGGCGTTGCTTGTTCTGGACGACCAAATGAGTTTGATGAAGAGCGGTTTGAATCAACTTCTGCAAGAAGACGCGCGCCAAACCACTCAAATCTTCTGCACGAAGACGCGCGTCAAAGAATTAAGCCGAATGAATGAGTTTTAGCTAAATGATTATAGTTCGACATCTTGGGTCTATGGGTAAAGTCCAAAAACTCGGATATTATTGACAAATTTATTACTTTTTTGTTTTGTTAAAATAAAACTTTTTAAAGTAAAAAAAACTGCTGTTACCGATATTTAAACCCAATAGTTATTAAAAAAACGTAGTGAAAGCCATGGGTTTACATATCTAAAGCTAAGATGAGTAATATTGTCAACAGCAAAGGAAAAAACGTCAAAATTTAACTTCAAGTGGAAAAATTATTTCAAATATGTTCCAAGGAAAAAACGGAATGTTTTGAGTGTTACAAAAAAAGATCTTTAATGTTAAAAGAAAATCCGTCAAGTCAAAGAAAAAATTCCAAAATCCTTAAAATGCTCAGTGTCAGCTCTAAATAAAGTGATTAATGCTGGTTTGAATCTTAAGAAAGAAGAAAAAACATAATGTGCATCATTTTTCTCCACGACATATCGCCGAACGCAGAACGAGTTGTAGAATGTTTTATGAGAAACATTTATCTGGATAAAAATGAAAAAGTGTTGTCACACTAGACAAATATTGGGTGGACTTAAATGACTGCAATAAAAAAAAGATCCATTTATTATCATTAAATAGGAGGAAAAAATCTTAAAACATGGTTCAAGGAATTTAAAGAACGTTTCTCCAAGGGATTTAAGTTTGTTGTTGGTTTTCATAAAACGGCAAATTCAAAATAAATAGAGTGCAGAAAAATGATAAAACCAACTCCACATGTTATCAAAAACATATTTTATACCCAATTTTCAAATATGAAACATCTTCGCTTCACACATAATGGGATGATGAATCAGTAGGACTGCATGAAGGCAATGTAAGCAGTGACACATCAGAATATACTGTTAATTACCTGGAAAAAAATGGAACAAGAAAGGTCTCTTTTCACTTCACTCATATTCCTACTAAATATCCTGATCTGTCACCAATCCATTTTTGCTTGTTTGGACTTTTAAAAAGCGGGTTTTCCAAACGTCGACCTACAACCTCCATAAACTTTGAAATCTGTTCGAGGGCAATGCGATAAGATACCTCATCTGATACTGTATAAGGCTTTATTGTCTTCGAAATACAGTGCATAAAGCTACTGATGAATAATAGTTATCAAATAGAACGTTTAAAGCATAAAATTTTTAGGTAAAATATATCCGTAATTACAATAAAAATCGACTAAAAATGTGCGAACCACCTCTGTATCTTTAAAATACCGTGAAGTACATATAAAAATGAGCAAAACTGTAATAATCCAGTCGGAAATTTATTAACGATCTTGCAGTTAATTTCAGGGCAACTACAAAATAGTATATTTAAATACAGTGGCTTCTAGAAGTGTTAAGCACGCAATGCAAGCAATTTTCAAAAGCGTAGTTGAATTTGAATAGCTGAAAATGGCTGCAGATGAAGATATTCTTTATGATAGTCCGATTACATTTGAGTTTCCGAGCATATATTAATTCTGCCGTCACTGAAAATGCCTACATTCTGAAGGTTTTAAGGCGGTTCATTTAAATGCTGATATGAAGAGTATGTAGCTTTTGTAGGATTATGTTTGATGATATTCGTGTTTCTATGGCAGATAGATATGAATGAAAGATAGAGAGAGACTTCTGGCGTGGTGTTGGACGCATTGCAGAAGGATTATAAATCAATGATCTCGCTCTTTTCTTTGGCGTTGACCATTCGATAATTTCTAGAATGTGGAAAGAGTTCTAAACAATCCAAAGGAGACGTCCAGAGACCTGTGGCCAGTCGACCAAGCGTTATCACTTGTTCTGAAGATCGGTATACTGCTACAGGAGCGATTGAAATCGAGAAGGGACCTGCCCAAACCTTGCATTCATGGTTGCAGAGTGACTTAGTAAAACAGTATTTGCTAGTACTGTACGCCCAAGGCTTCATATGAAGTTTAATATTTGGATTTAATTGTTTGATCCAGAAAGGAAAACTTAATGTTGTTCTTCAAAATCTCAATCGTATTGCCTCAGATTGATAGCAACGTCCTGTTTATGGAGAGCACACGTTTGCCTTGGAACTAGATGACATACGCATAAGGACTTGAACAGAACGAAGCACAAGTCCTGAAAATCTTCGAACATGATGCATTCAGAGGTGGCAGCATCACGGTATGGGTTATTATTCCCAGCTGCTGCACATTTCTAAAAACTTTTCTGTGACGGTTGTGCATATCGATATGAAGTCACCCCACTGTGATTTTATGTGCTGCAGCAGTTGGTTATCCTTATGGTTCATTGATTTCCTCCTTGTGGATGGTTCCAAAATCCTCCTAAGGGTCTAAAGAGAACACGGCATATGGAACCAGGTTTATAAAATCATCGAACATGACACATTCAGGGGTGAAAACATCACGGTAATGGGCTTTACGTCCAATGAGATACCACACGCAGCTGCATATCTCTAAAGGCATTTAATGATGGCTTCAAAGTATAAAGTCCTATACCCAATCGTGATTATACACTGCAGTATTTGGTACTACTTTCCTCTTTACGGATTTTAATGCATATACTCATCGAGCCAGTATCATTAACGAGTAAATGGAGAGTGAAGAAGTTTCTTGTATAGCGTAGCCGTGGTTTTCCCCCAATTCTATCCGCACTGAAAATCTTTGGGATTTTCTCCGGCTTCCTGTCTGCATGTTTACCTCCTCCACCCAGTTTCAGACAGTTGCTAACTGCTGTAATAAGGGAGGGCCAT